TACATTTGTCAGCCGCACTTGACAGTCCTTCCAGTCTGCTTCAGGCCTACGGTGGCTATGCTGGCAGGTCCTGTGGCTTCCCAGCGCGTCCTTGGTCCCCTGTGACGCCGTCCTAGTGTTAGGAAGGTGGTGTCGTTGGTGCTCTGAGTCATCCAGGACCGTTCTGGGCTACTTGCCACTCGTTCTGGGCCTCACGGGGCGCCAGCTGAGCGCTACTAAAGGGGCGGTCTCTATAATGCAATATTTTTTTGTTAATTGGCGCCCCGAACACTAGCGAATGTTAAGTTAATCGAAATTAACTACAGTTAAGTTTGCGCGTTTGAGTGATGACTCAAACCGCCACCCCAGAGTGCTCACAGGAAACGCGGACACATCTTGCTCTCGTGGCCGGCTCGACCGTCTCCCATTCACAGCCTTGGAAGGGGACTCCCAGGCAGAAATCGTGCTTCCTGCATTGCTTGTCCGCTTCCAAGTTCAATCCCAACTTTCCTTGACGACGAGGGCACAAAACACAACGTTCTTCCAGTCTCACAACAGCTGGCGGGTTTACTTGTATGCCCAGGATCCGGTTCATCACAAAAGCAGCTCAATCACAGCTCAGACAACTGAGCGCATAGCTAAGTGCAAAACGCGCCATGGACGCATTTTTTGCTCCGGAAGTATCATGGGACCGAAGCCATTAGAACACGGACTTTGCACCATAATGAAAATGCAACGATGAGGCAAATGCACAAACAGAATATTTCTGCGGGTTCCGATCGTTCACATGGCCATTTGCAAGGCTTGCAGATACTTGGGAATCAAAATAAACAAGGTTTCAACGTGTTATAAAGTTGTCTGGTAAAAACGCTGCCACAACTTCCCCACAAGTTGTCTTGTGGACAGGATACCCTGACCGAACCAATTCTGCGTATGAGTTGCATGGCGATTTTACAACAAAACTCATGTTGCCCCATGCAAACATGAGCGCTCATGTCTGTAGCGTGATCGACAAGGCGTCCCATGAGCCAAATCAGGTGAAAAGAAAAATCCTTCACTTCAAAGAGGTTTAATAATATGCCTAACAATTTTGTAGTGGCGAGCTGCCCAGGCTATGCAATGCCAAAACAGGAGCTCTTTTGAAAATAGAGCAATCGCCAGCCATGGAAAATCAGTGATCCACACCGTGGAAAAATTGTCATTGTGTGGCTAAGAGAAGACTGCTTTAACGGATCCAATCCAAGCAAGGGCTGTGGCGGCTCGTGAACGGCTTACCACGCCACAATGACTCAGTTTGCCATGTGGCCTATCTTCAGAAAACAGCATGGACGACAACATGTTTGTGCGCAAGAAGAATGCCTAATTTTCCACAGCACTATTGTTTCACGAATTTATCTCGAGCGGTCGGTATCTACTGTCAAACAAGATATCTCAAATTGTGGGCAGGAGGGACTCCCCCCTGTACTGCTATAGTGTCGCTTCATTTGAATTCAAGTGGAATGTGTCCCCTTCGTCTTTCCCAAGAGGCACATTTCGCCACTCGCTGCCAAAACTTTGAAGTTCCCCCAAATTGGGGGCCTTGGGCCCTGAACCGCGCTCGTCAGGCGCCATTCCCCAAGGCCAGCAAAACCCTCCCGTGGCACTTCGCGACGTACTGAACAGGACGCCTAGCAGCGACATGACTCATCTAGGAGTCATTATCGAATTATCCACGATGTCTGGCCCCAAGCAAACTAGTACAGTGTTGGGCGAGCATTTAATGCGACGAAACTCAGACACTATTTGGTCTTAGGCTGGCGTCAGCAATATGATTGAATTTTGCGAGTTTGGTGCCGAGACATTGATGTTTGGTGTGGTTGCAGACTTCCTTTTTGAACTTGAACGGATCCACGGACTTGGACGGCTTTGGACAAAGGATATCTGTCCTGTAACTCAGCGGCTGGCGGTGTGAACACTTTGCCTCCCGGCATGTCGCTGGGGAGCGCTTCCACTGCCAGAAAACAGCACTTTCGCGATGCCAGCTGCGATGCCAATTAAACGCTCAGTGGCGCCATCACAGCGACTGCAACGGCGCAAGGCTAGCTGCGGTGGCATCAATTAGTGTCAGATGGCATCACAACCGGCATCGCGAAATTGTTGTTTCCTTCAGGTGTTCGTGACGCTTCCCATGCGCGTCCGTGCGCCGTACGGTCCCAAAACCGCGCGAACCTCCTCAGCCGTCTCATGCACCGTCTCATTAATATAAGATAAATTTGTATATGTATATATATATATATATATATATATATATATATATGGCAGAAATAGGCATGTTTGCGATGCCAACTGCGATGTAATTTTTTGACACAAAGTGATGCCGTCACGGCGATTGCGATGGCACAAAAGCGGCTGCGATGGCATCAGTTTGTGTCAAATGGCATCACAATTGGCACCGCAAACAGGCTGTTGTAACTGGTGGCACCTGTCGCAACTGGTGTATAGTGACAGTGGGATGAAATTACAATGACATTGTTCTGCTGTAACTGGAACTGAATGAGTATTATCAACAGCTGAACGCATAAAGAAATGATGAGGCATCAGGAATTGCAGTAGGGACGTTGATGAACGGACTGGATACAAGGGACAGAACTCCTGTTGTCCCTTTGCCACGGCTGTAAGCCGTTGGCGTGGACTCCAGCGTGCGATCCTCTCGACCCTGTATGGCTCGCCATGGCTCGCCACCCCTGTACCCTGAACCGATTTAGTGCAGAAAGTCACCGATTTGGTGCAGCCAGTAATGGTATGCCGAAGGCATGCAGGGGGCATACATTTTTGCACTAAATCGGTGACTGTCTGCATCAAATCCTCCAAGAATAGCCTAACCTAAACCTAAGCCCTACAACTTAACCCTACACCTACCCGATCCCTAATCCTAACCCTAAACTCACCCTATCCCTAAACCTAAACCTAAAACCGAGGTTAGGACATAGTGGGCACGTGACTTAGCGCCGGCAGTCACCGATTCGGTGCAGGCAGTAAAATATTATTTCGACGCCTCCCTCAGTGTACTGCGCAAAATCGGGCGGGTCCACGTGGCTCCCGCCAGAAACTGGACGCGGTTGACCGCCTTTTATCACAGCTGCGGCAAAGGCGGGTCGCGCGCCAAACCAGCGCACAACAGGCTCGCGACTCTGGGACCAACGGCGTGGCCCGTTGACCCGCTGACCCACTGGCCGACTGACCCGCGGCGCTAGCGGCAGGAGGCGGACGCCCCGCAGGTGGGCCCTGCGGGTCGGACGCCGCTGCGGCTCGCGAAGCTCATTCGCCTCCCGCTCCGCTGCCAATGCGTCTGGAATCGGTGCCGTGGGGCGATCAGCGATCAGGGAGCCGCCCCCTGAGCGCCTCGTGCGCTCTGCCGCCCGAAATGGCTTTCGCTTCCCGTCCTGGATGGGGATTCCCTTCTCGGTTCCAGCGATGGATCCCCGGCCCAGAATATGGACTCCCACTCCCCCCCCCTTTTCACAGCACGGAAAAGAGCCTCGCATGCATTTGCTTAGGAGGGGGCGCTGTTTGTATGACGTGCTCCTTTCTCTCTTTGTAACGATTCTGACACCCCACCTCTCCTGAAACTCGGTTGGACAATTGAGGACGTTGAATTTTGGTGCATTGGAAATTGCCGCTGCAAGGCTCGCCTTTGTCGTGCGCCCCCGCGTTGGCGTGTCGCCTTGAGGGGTTTTTCGCCGGCCAAGGGCTGCCAAGGCCGTTTGGAAGTGGCGGGATCCGGGGGCACCTCCTGGGCTCTCGGTTCCAGCGTCATTGATTGAGGTGCCACAAAAGTAACTGCGATAGCGTCAAGAAGTGTCAAACGGCACTGCGAGAACGGCGTTTTCTAGGCGCCAGTGGCGGTCAAGTCTCCGAGGGGCGTTCACGTCCAGTCGCCGTTTCGTTGGGCAGAAAATCGAATGAAGGAAGGAACATCCTGGCAGGCAACATGCGCAGTCAACACATTGATCGTGTCACGCGTCTCCACTGAGCTCAAATATTCTTGGTGTTTAAGCCCTTCCGCATGTTAGCGTAACGCTTGGCCTTTTGTTGTGGAGAAAACAGTAAAATGAATAACGCTCTTTGAATAAAATTTGTGCGGTACCATGTAAACTGGTTAAAACAACGCTCTGAAAACAAAACATGGAGCAAGACGTGTAACGGTAGTGTTTTCTCAGGTGGAAAGGTTGAATGTACTGCAGCAGTCAGACAGCGCCCCTTTGCTGGCGGTCTGCACCAAGCTCACACCGATTGGCAAAGGGGGCCTGAGGTGGGCGAAATACGCCTGCCTGTCAAAGGGTGTCTGCAGCATGCCGATGCTGTGTTTGGGCATGCAGGCACCATGCAAGGGTGGGGAGCAGGAAATTGTAAGTGGGATAGGGGATTCGGGGCACACCGGGGCAGTCGATGGGAGACACACGGCCAGTGTTTGTTGAGACCGAAATCGATGGGTTAAGCCCCTCCCACTCGAGACTGGGCGAATGAGAGGCCTGGCTGTCGGCAAGTTTGAGACACAAGATGTGTATTTGGCACATGGTAAAAACTTCACTCTTGACATTCTGGGGTTGGGAGTGTTCAGGTGTGTTGAGAGGGCACCAGCAGACGCATCGGCATTTGTCATTGTTGTTAATCAGATCACTTGGACGTTCAGCCTAACTGACATCATATGCGATTTCATTGCTGCAGGTCAGTTTTGCCCAAGATGGGTTCCCATGCTGCCTCTCATGAACGAGATGAATATGAAGAATGGAGTGTGTCAAATCCCCCCATTGGAGCTTTGGACCTTTACACATCAAGTACAGTTCCTTTGCAGGGTCCTAAACAGTTTTTGTTGAAGGGAGGCGCCCTACAGATGGCGACTGGGTGTCCCTGTGTGATTCTTGGAGCTGCTGCTGCAGCTTATTGTCATTGCTCCATCCCCACGGTGTCCACCAGGGTGGAATGTGTGTTGCCTTGCCTGACTCACAATGCACCAGCAAGCCTGTTGAGAGTCTGCATGGGCCACTTTTGCTCGAAATGTGTAAAGCAATACTAAAATTTGTAAAAATGCAGAAACAACTGTTTTCAACAGATCATGACAAGTCACTGTCACTTCCTATTGGGTGATTTCAGAAGCAACCAAATGCACCGTTCAGTCAGCACAACACTGAATGAACGAGCCTGTGCATTGGTTGCCACAGCCTGTCTCAGGCATGCTTACAAGAAAGGGGCATCTTGGGCACCACGGGCTCTGTGCATGAGCTTTCTTTGCTTTTGCCAGAACAAGACATGAATCAGCGCCCTTCACAAGCATCAGGCGATATTCTCCAGTCACTTATTGTTATTGCCCTGGGGAGCAATGCACCCATATGTTAGAAGGCACCAAGCTATGCCATCTGAACATTTGTTTCACTTTGGGCGCAACCTAATTGTTGGTGTTGTATGGCAGGATGTGTCTGCGACCCGAAATACTCGGACACCATTGTAAAAGTGAAGATAAAGGCCAGCAGCGACACAAGGCCTTCCCAAATTGACCCTTCTGGCAGCCCAAATTCAGTCGACCGCCCTGCTACAAAAAGGAGACGCATCTGCGAGAATGAGCTATCCGAATCGGGAATCTACAATAGTGGCACAACAGAAGAGGAGCCAACAGAAGTTGGGGTGCGGAGAGTTGTGTACAGAAGCTTCTTTGCCTGCGCTTACTCCTTGGCCAGTGGGTCAGCCTTTTTCAAGACCACAATCGACAGATCGTCTCGGGATGAAGGGATCAGAAGGGTGATTGAGGTGGAAGTAGATGGCAGTGAGCTGAGCATCTTCATAGTTCTCCTGAAGTTTCTGCACACGAAAGAGGCGCCAAAGGACGTTGCAGTAAGGGACTTTGTGGACTTGCTGCGCATAGCCAACAGGTTCCTCGTGCATGGCATCGTGGGCCACTGCGTGGATGGGCTGATCGCAAAAGGAGTGGGATGGCGCATTGCTTCAGAACTCTTGGAAATGCTGTACACAGCAGGGATCAAGAGCATGCCAGAAATCAGAAGTCTGCTCGATGTCTTGGACAAAATTCTGTTGAGCAGATTCGAAGATCTGGACGTAGCATGGTCTGTGGCAGAAGATCGAAATCTTCTTCTGCATTTGCCAATGCCTACTCTCAAGTCACTGCTCCTAAATCCAGCCCTAAAAGTCGCCGCAGAAGAGACTGTGTTCATGGTGGTGTCGAAGTGGCTGCAGGTTGCTTTTGGTTCAGGGCCCAAAGTCGTTGCCAGCGATGATTATGGTCAAGCAGTGCTGCAACTTGGCAACTGCATTAGATTTCCACAGATTTCACCATACTATCTTCAGCGGGTTGTACTATTTGTTTCCTGGACTGAAGGGCCAAACTGGGCGGCTCGCTGGTGGATAAAGGAGGGACTTCAATTTCACTTGTCCAGTCCTCAGAAACTTAAGGCCGGCAGGGTGGGAAACTGTCGTGGGAATAGGTTCCTGCCGAGACCAGCGTCCTCTAATCCCAAATTAGTTGTCACTTGGGAAGGCATTGCAAAAACGTTTAGGGACGAAATATCTAACCAGCACTGCATTACTGGAAAGGCATGGCACCGAGGGCATGCATGGTACCTGCAATGCAGTCAAACAACTAAGGGAGGCATTCGTGTTGGCGTTGTTGTGAAACCCCTTTTTGTTGCCATGTCCCTGGATGCCCTGGGCAGGCGGCCACCCATGCCACGTTCTGTTAGACCTAAGAAAGTCGTGTTTGAGGTGGCAACAAGGTCAGGCACTCGACAGCAGGTCAGGGCAGTCGATGATACGAATTGGCTTGTTGGCAGAGTGTTTGTGGCAAAGGAATTTTTGACCACCACCAACGATGACAAATCTCTGGAGTTTCTGACCGGGGAGCAAAGCGAGCTGGTTGTCGATGGGCGTATTAAAGTATCAGCGACCATGGAGTACTGACTGCTGGGGGCTTTCTCTTGTACCCATTTCTGGATGATGTGCTTTGGTTCTTGCCTTGTGGATGCGGTCCTTTTCGCTGTGCCTTGAGCCCTGTCAACCTGGAAATACGTTTGGGAATGGACCAAAGTGCATTTTTGCGTTTGTGAGCGGCTTGGGGATTGCAGCGCATGCATGAAGCACGGGAAGCAAATTGCCAGCTAACACAAATTTTGTTGTATGTTCAAACTGGGCCAAGGGGCGCAGATTGTGTGCAAGTGATGTGCCATGGGATGAAATGCAATCACACCATGTGGTCGTTGGAGATTTCCTTCTTGGCCATGTTTCATGGCCAATGCAACTTGTATGGGATCAAAGATACGTGTCGAAGTTCATTAGCCATCCCAGTTCGATATCTCACTCGCTGCCATCGAAAGCACGCAGCGAGGGGCCACAACGCAGCACAAGTCAAACCGTTTCGGTTCAAACTCTTTGGCAACCTTGGTGCATGCATTGCTCAAACGCACTCGCCGTGCATGGTCGGACAAGCTGCCAAGACTCAACTTGCCTTAAAACCAAACCAAGAGAAGCCACGAACAAGTCTCAGGCTCTCTTTGAATACTAGAATGCGCCTCTTTTTTCGCCCAGCAGCACTCACTCTCAGAACTCTGGATTGCAGTCACACTTCACACATGCACAACACGCTAACCCGCAGCACTGTCGACCCGCGGCACCGACCCACAGCTCCAACCCACAGTACCAACTCACGATCACCAAAATTAGTAAGATTGAAGCTGATTGTTGGCCAGCCGTCCTCCCGCCATATCAATCAGGTCAATGTGTGCACCAGTCAAAGCCAGCACATGAACAGGTGCTTGCACAGCATGGCAGCTGCGGCTGTCTTCGTGTGTCAGACTTTCATCTCTTTACTGAATGCTGCAAGGAGTTGTGAGTTTATCGGGGTCACTTGTTCATCTTCACTTATTTGTTGTTATCTTTGCTCAAGTACCAGTGGGGCCATCCTGTTCTGCGCTTTGTTGGGAGTCTGGGTCTGATGGAACCAAAAACGCTTTGAAGGCCACGTGCTTGTGTTTGCAACTGAATGCTCGCAATGCTTGCAGCATGACGATTAGCCATTTGGCAAGCACAATTGGTGCCATCAGAATTGATCGTTGACTGCGTTTTCCTGGATTGGCAATGGACAGTGGTTGCTGCTCATGCCCATCCTGCACTTCAATTGCGTCTGATAAACTCCACAATTCGTCTTCACCACGACAGCTGCTTGCTGATAGATGGTGTGGATGTTCCTATACAATGTGCTGTCTCCATTCCATATTGATGATCCCAATTCATTACTTGGCACTTTGGGCCTGTGTTGTTCTTTGCAAAACTTATGTAAAATGGACTGCAACGTACACGAGGCAACAATCAGGCATCACTGTACAGTTCTTTGAAGTCCTCGTCTTGAGCCTGCACCAAGAACGTTAGCGTCCACCGGCATGCCCATTAGCAGCGCCTCTTGGACCTGATAGCAATTACTATTGCATCTTATAAGATGCAAAAAACACGGCAACAACTCAAATCAGCTTGGGCCCATTACGGTACCTGATTCGTTTTGCCTCGGTTCTTTGGTGTTGCTATATCATCCACACTGCAAAAAGTCACACCTTGACATTTTATCTCTTGTTTTACGGCAGTACACGCAGCAGTAGGTGCACTCTATGGAATGCACATCAGCAGTTGTTGGCTTGGAAGCTGCTAGTTGCAACGGGTATTGCCACGCCATCATCAATGGTGCCGGTGGGGCTTAGGTGCAGGCTGCTTGGGGATCATGTTGGTACCCATTTTTTGAAAACATTGACTGTGGGAACATTGCGCGGCCCTCATGATTTTTCAGGAATGGGAATCGATGACTGTCACAGCGACACCATTGTAGGGGTGTGACTTTCGAGTGCTGGAGCTGTCGCTCCCGAGGCCGTTCAGGGGTCGTTCCAGACACTAGAAAAAAAGGGCCAAATAACACGTGTTCAAACGTGTACAAAGTTTATGGGTTTCTGTTATTTTTTTGTTGTTAGCGTGTAAAACTGTGATGAAATGTGTGTTTATGTGTGTTCGCAAATGTGTTTTTTGGCCCTTTTTTCCTTAGTGAGATGTGGCTGACGGGCAAATGACCCAAAGAGGAGACGGACATGCAACGACAGAAAATCTTGCTCGGGCATGAAGCCCACAAGTGAAAACGACAGAGAAGGCCAGTTGGGCAACGCTGCGGGTTGCAGCAGTATAGATTGAGCTGCCTCGTCGTACTGCCTTGCCTCGAATCCGAGATCCTTTCGGCCGGCTCTGGACGGATGGTCTGAAGACCAGGGAGCGAAGGTCTTGTGCATCGGGCTGGAGACCAGCGACCTTGAGGCATTCAAGTTTCTGTTGGATTTCATGCATCACAAGGACATGCCCGCCGATGTTTGTTTCGATGGTCTGCTGCAGTTGCAGCTGACGGCAGAAGCATTCATGGTGGACAGGGTAGTGAACCCTTTCGTGGACCGCCTCCTATGATGCAAGCTCGATTGGCATGGTGCTGTCAAATTAGCATACATATTGGATGCATCGCAGCTGAAGAAAGCACCATCGGTTATTGCTCTCTTGGAATGGGCCCGACGGCTACTTCTGGATAGATTCCGGAAGCAGAGCATTGTTTAGAACGGTACAAAGACAAGTGGAAGATCACGAAGCTGCCCTAGGTACGTTTAAAGTCCCTGTTGCTGCAAGACGACCTGGAAGTTGTTGCAGAGGAAACCGCGTTCCTCTTCGCCACTGAATGATTGAATCACAATTTCGGACCAGAATTGAGTGTTGCAGAGAGCGACGCTCATCGAGAAGCAGCGTTCGAGTTCGGTGGGTGCATCAGGCTCTGCCAAATGTCCGCGTTTTATGAGCGCAAGGTCGTCCCGTGTGTGGAATGGATGAAGAGGCTGGACGTTGCAGCATGGTGGGCGCATGAGGCACTACGTTTGCATGAGCTCACAGAGGCCTCGGCTGAATTCGAAAGGGTCAGGAGGCGCGTGGGGCGCAGGTGTTGGCTTAGGCGCTTGAATCCTTATGCAAACCAACGTATCTCGTGCGATTACGAGGATGCTGGAGTATTTGCTTTGTCAGGAGAGCCAAAGCCATTCGTCGGGTATGATTGGGCGTTGAAACTCTGCATGAATGGTGATGAACGTAAAATCGGTTTATTTGTCACAGCGCCGCACTTTAATGCAAAGCCAAAAAGCAAATACGTAGAAAGCAAAACGATTCTGCCCTCCTATGCTGTGCCCAAAGACATGGTTTTCACAACATGCAGGCAATTGGGAAAGCGGAGGGGGGGTCTGTGGTAGCAAGGAATTGGCTTTGGGAGAACTTGCCAAATACACAATCGTAAGAACCAACGATATTGGTAACAAGCGTATGGAGGTGAAGGCTTTCCCGGAGTTCTGAGAACATACTGATTGTGATAGGAAGGGGTACCACTGTTTAGCACATATGCATATCGATTTCCAGCCAAATTTGCTGTTCGATGTCCGGTGTCCACCCGTTCAGAACATATCCATCTCCTATTCATTTCTCCTTGATTGGGTACTGTTGCACCATGCTCAGCATGATTGACAAAACGATAGCATGGTTTTCAGAGTAAATGCAAGTGGAAACCAAAAATAAGGGCTCAGCCGCTGATGATCATATCATTCCATTACCCATTGAAAATCGGTCAAACACGTCAAAGCAACGCCCATGTCACTTTGACCGGTGATCCACTCGATGCTTTCAGTAATTCATCGACCATGCATCCCCCCATCCAATCTCCTTACCAAAGCGTTTGGTGGTTCCACGCCCATTACGGCAGAGTTCTTGACGTTCCCCACACTCCAACTTACCCACAATCAATCTATGATATATGCTCAATTTTCGCCACAACGCCCCATCATGAGTGGCACCTATTATGGCCACATATATCGCAAACTGACCTGAGAGACCGACCCATGATATGACATCATGGAGCCCGAAATGTCGCATGGATTACCACCTCTGATATCCATCACCGGCGCTCGATCGACTTGCGGGCAAATCACAAGCTCTTACAAATCCCCAAGACTTGCAACTCTCGGCCTCCGCCCCACTGGGGTGGGCAGATCCATAGTTGTACCTCTATCGGCACACGGCACGCCGTGGCCGCACCCAAGGAACTTCATTGCGTGTTTCTTTCACATGTCACTGGAGTTACCTCACTTGTCTCACTGCCACTCCCCATCACATTCCAATCCCACGCCACACCACTTTGCCATGCACCCACACCCTATCATCATATGACCCACGCTCAAATGCGTCCTCTGCATTGCCGGCCCATCAAACTGGCACCCAGAGCCCTCCTTGCATGACGCAACCCCATCAACTTCTAATGGCGCGGCACCGGTGCCGCTGGCCCAGTGGCACAACACAGTGACGCCATCACACCAAAATGGCATCAATCACATGTCATCACACTGCACCCCACAGTTCGCCCCCGCGCCTCGCTGCCGTGGCTTGCCCCCGTGGCTCAATGCTACTACCAGCCCATCGAACAGCCTCCAAAAGGCCAGCCTAACGTAAGGCTCCACTGAGAGCCGTGCTATCACCTCCGGGTGTCGGCAATGGCTGTGATGGCCCTGGGCGCCATCCTTAGTAATGCAACAAGAACCAACGTCATCATAATGCTATCCTGTGCCGCCTTGGGGCAAACGGCCAGCGCCCCCATCCGGTGACCAAAACACAAAAGTGGCCAACAAATGTTGGTCATTTTGTGGGAACTCGAACAGTATTTACCCGAAAATTCTTTTAAAATTTCCTTGAGATCACGCTAAGACCCTAAATCTTCAATTTTATTAGGACCTCGAATCTTGAATATCATTGCGCTGTCAGCGCAGTACTCAGACAAGAATATCAGTTGAATGCCCTCAGGTTTTCATTTCGTCATCAGCGCAAATAAATTTCATGAATAAATTGTCCAAACTATTGCGTCGCTATTGCATTATCCATACGTGAGTGAGGATCGAGTAAGCACCCAATGCTGGTTGTGGTGGTTGCACCCCATTCTTGAGTAAGCAATTAGCATGACAGGCGAGCAGCAATGGCGCTTACTGAATTTCAAATTGAGCAAATGAAATGTGCCGTCGGGGTTGTAAGAGCGCAGGCCGCACCAAAATGTAGGATTTGTTCTATTTTGGGAATCCTCATCTCCAGCACACGAGCACGCCACTGCGCGGACGGAACTGCACAGAACGGCCATCAAAGGGCTGAACTTACGAGGGGCAGGCGGACACCAACTGGTGCACGCAGAACATGCTCCCTGAGAGAGACCAGGAACTGAGGAAGGCTGGGCGTGGTGGAGAGAGAGGATTCGCCACACAGCATTAGCACTAAGCACAGTGCGAATACTAGAACTGTACAGCGAGTTTCCACAGAGCTACGTTTCGTGATCACCGCCATGTTTAGGTGATACTCTCGAAAAGGGTTCCAGCCGGGAACACACCTTTGGGACTACGCGATACAATTTCTGATACTGCTTAATACTGGGGTTGCACCACTCTTCGTTGAATACACACGATGCATAAACGACGCACTTGGCCACCCCCGGTATGTCTGTTCCCTTCCCCCCTACTCCCCTGCTGTGCCGCTTGTGCTACAATTGGCGCCGCTACAATTACAATCACAATGTGAGCCTCACAATTACAGGGCCACCCCCTTGGCCATCTCAGTCTCCGGGATCGACGAGTCGGGCCGCCCCTCCATGAGCGTCTCGTACTTCTTCTGGAACCTGCGCGAGCGCACGTAGAAGATGACGCCCACCGCGACGGCTATGAGCGCCACCACGGCGGCAACTGCGCCGCCCGCCACCCCTGCAGCGCTGCTGCCGGACGAGGCGCCGCCGCCCTCGGCGCCCAGCTGGTCCTGAAGCTCGGGGAACTGGCGCTCCAGCGCCGCGAGCTGCGAGTCGCTGAGCTCGAAGGCCAGGCGGCCGTTGTCGAACAGCCAGGACCAGCCGCCCAGCCAGAACTGCCCCACGTCGGGGCTGAAGGCGCCCCTGTAGTCGGCGCGCTCGAAGAAGCCGTCGTCGGGAACGGGGTCCCACAAATCGGTGAGCGGAGAATCGGGCCTCGGGCGGGGGTCCACGCGCGACGCGTTGTCGACGATGACGGGGATCGCCTGCAGGAGCGTGTCGCTGGTGGTGTCGGCCGCGCCCAGACCCTCGCAGCCCTGCGCCACGGAGAAGGGGCGCCTGGCGCCGCTGATGACGTTGTTCGCGCTGAACCACAGGTAGTTCGAGCCGAGATCGGGGATCGCCCTGGCGGCGTCCAGGTCCTGCGTGATCGCCTCCGAGCCGCACTGCTCCTGGAACACGCCCACCGGCGCGTTGACGATCACGATGTTGCCAAACTCGCCCCCCGTGGCCTCGCGCAGCCGCATCATGGCCAGTTCCGTGTCGTCCGACGAGACGGGCGATGGGTCGCTGTTCTCCGATCCCACGAAGAGCGCGTTGTAGAGGCGCGGAAAGGAGCGTGGCTGCGGGTCGCCCGAGTCCGAGCCCAGCTTGGAGTCCATCTCCGCGCCGTGGTGGCCCCTGCTGTCCACCAGCACCGACACGAACTGCAGCCTGCCCTGGTAGCCCTCGTCCGTGTCGATGCCGTCGTCGCCGCAGTACAGGACGGACACGTACTTGGCATCCACCGTGCCGCCGAAGAACTCCACGCCGTCGTCGAGGTTGAACTGAACAAGCAGGAGTCAACACACATGCAGGTGAGGACAAGCCCCGTCTTTCCAGCCAGCCACAGGGCACGCCTTTTGTGGGAGCAGCCGGACAAACAGAAAATAAATGCCGGTGTGAGCAGCGACGAGTTGTTCGGCGGCGCACCACCCACAACAAAAACTCCCTGGCCAGGCCTGCTGCGTGACAACAGTAGCTCACCGCGACTTCGATGTGGCTGACTTCTGTGCCGCGGCCGACGCCCGCGAACGTGATGCCGTTGATCTCGTTGTTCGCGCCCACCACTCTGCCGCCGTACCACACGCGCACGTACGACAGGACGCCCGAGTTGTCGTCCACGTTGCTGCCTCCGTACTTCTTGCCGTCGATGCCCTCCACCTCCCTCTCGCCGCCGATAATAGGCGCGCTCCCAAGGACGATGAGACCGCCCCACATGCCGCGGGCGGGGAGCAGCGAGGGGTGCGCCGCAGCCGTGAACGTGATGGGCCGCGAGCTGCTCCCCTTGGCGATGATCTGTGCGCCCCTCTCCACAATCAGCGATGGGGCCTTGCCTTCACCGTCGTCCGCGTACGCCATGATGGTGGTCCCAGGCTCGATGGTGAGCGTCACGTTGGGCTTGACAAACACCTGGCGGGTGAGCAGGTAGGTGTCCGCGCTGCGCCACGTCGTGTCCTGAGCGACGTCTTCCGCCAACACCGGCCCCCAGACGTCGTTGGGGATCCTGCCGGCCTCGCTCAGCCACGACCACCCCGCCAGCCACATCTCACGCCCGAAGGCACCCTTGTAAGCCACGGACTCGAAAAAGCCGTCGGACGGGACGTCGTCCACGGCCTTGTACGCTGGTCCGTCTTCCGTAGGCCTTGGGTCGAAGAACGCGGTGTCCTCATTCAGGCCCGACGGCAGCAGCACGAGCCCCAGATCCTCGACGAGCGTAGCGTTCCTTAGTCTCGGCCCCTCGCAGCCCTCCGTCACGAACGGCACCTCGACCTCGCCCGCCATCAGGTTGTTGCTGCTGAACCACAGGTAGTTGGGCACGCCGCCGGCCGGGAGGATGTGCGTCCTGGCCTCGCGGCCGCAGTCGTTCTGCAGGACGCCCACGGAAAGCACGTTCGCGAGGATGAGGTTGCCGAACTCACCGCCGGTGCCCTCGCGGAGGCGCATGAGGCCCTCGCGCTGGTCGTCGGAGCTCTCCGAAGCGGGGTTGCCGCTGCCGCCCACGAAGAGCGCGTTGTATATCTGAGGGAACGAGCGCGGCTTGGCGTCGGGGTCGCTCCCGTCGCTGTCCATCTCCGTGGCGTGGTGCCCGCCCTCGCCCACCACCACCACCGCGAACTGGATCTTGCCGCTGTAGCCCTCGTCCGTGTCGATGCCGTCGTCGCCGCAGAAGAGCACCGACAAGTACTTGACGTTGACGCTGCCGCCGAAGAACTCCACGCCGTCGTCCAAGTTGTACTGCGCAACAAGTCATTGCCCGCAGAGTCACAACGCAAGCACTCCTGTTTGGTCACCGCCGCCCGCCACTTCCCTTGAAGGCACAAACCGATCTGCAGCGTCGCTGCGGATGTGCGAAAGTGCCACATGGCAGGCTGCAGCCCTGACAGGGAAAAAAGCATGCATGTATGCAACAGGGAACAATACCTGCAACAAGAGCCTGACGACCGCGGGCCGCAACGCAGTCCCAGCACGGGGCTTGTTGGCAGCGTGCGCCGACCACCAGTTTGCGGAAATGCAAAAGTGCCACACTGGGGGCTGCCGCCATGACAGGGAACGATATACACAACAAGAACTTGACGACCGCGAGCAACAACAAAGCCCCAGCGCGGGACTTGTTGAAAGCGCACACAGACCAGCAATTTGGGGGCGCACTGCGTGGGTCTCGCAATAAGGGTTGCGCTCAAACTCGGAGCCGTTCGCTTTTCGGCCGCGTTCCGATCGAGCTCCGCAGCCGAAGTGACACTCACCGCGACCTCGAGGTGGTCCACGACCGTCCTGGCGCCCACGGCCCCGAACGTGACGCCGTTGATCTCATTGTCGGGCGCGATCTTGTCTCCGCCGTACCACACGCGCACGTACGTCAGCACGCCCGAGTCGTCATCCGGGTTGTTGCCGCCGTACTCGACGCCCTCCAGGCCCTCCACATTACTGACGCCCTTGGAGGTGAGACCGTCGCCCAGAATCACCACACCTCCCCACGTGCCCCGCGCGGGCAGGTGCCGCGGGTTGAGCACGGACGTGAAGGTGATGGGCCGGTCGGCCCTACCCTCCGCCAAGATCTTCGCGCCGCGCTCGACGACGAGGCTGGGCGCCCTGCCCGAGCCGTTGTCCCTGTAGGCTTTGATGACGGCGCCGGGCTGGATCGTGAGCGTAGCGCCGCTCGCGACGAAGACCTGGTCCGCCAGCAGGTGCACGGTGTCGGAGCGCCAGGTGGCGTCGGACAGGATGACGCCCTCCTGGAACTCGCCGAAGACGTTGTCCGGGATGAGGCCGAACTCGTCTAGCAGCGACCAGCCGGAGAGCCACAGGTCTTCGCCGAACGCGCCGCGGTAGTCGACCGGCGTGAAGAAGTCGGCGGGGACGTCGTCGACGGCCCTGTACACGGGGCTGCTCCCGGTGCGCGGACGGGGATCTATGAAGAGGACCGTGTCGTTGATGGTCTCGGCCACCATCACCAGATTCGGCTCCTCCTTGGACCAGGAGCGGAGCTCCTTGCCGCGGCAGCCTATGGACGTCCGGACGGGGGCGGTGTGGGGGCCCAGCATGTTGCCGGGGCTAAAGTACAGGGTGTCTGGCCCAGAGCGGCTTTCGATGTCTTGCGTCACGGTCAGCGCATCCGTGCAGTTGGACAGCCACACCGCCTTGTCGGCCACGTTGACGGTGATGAGGTTGCCCAGATGGGCGCCGGTGCCCTCCCGAAGGCGAATCAGACCGTTTTTCTGCTGGTCCGACGTCACCATGCCGGGGTCCGTGCTCCCTCCAACGATCAGCACGTTATAGATTTGGGGGGAAGAGCGGGGGGTCTCGTCCCCTACGCTGTCCATCTCAAACCCGTGGTGGCCGCTCGTTCCCGTGATCACGAACACGAATTGCAGCTTGCCCTGGTACCCTTCGTCCGTATCGATCCCATCGTCACCGCAGAACAAGACTGATATGAACTTGGCATTCACGGTGCCGCCGAAGAACTCGACGCCATCGTCCAAGTTGTACTGCACAATGCATCACAAAGATGTTTGTTAGCGACCAGCGTCCGTGGCCCTGGCCACACGGGAACGCCGCTCCTGTGTGCACACAACAAACCCCACGGTGTGAACAACAAGACACCCCTTTTGGAGTAGCAACCACAAAGCACAAGGTACAACACTCTGCAGCAAATCTGTGGTTTCCCCAAAACGCGTATTCCATATTATGTAACGTTCGCAAGTGTAACGTACAGCAGTACTGTATAGTACATTCAACCCTTGTGCATAGTGACATACCGCTTGGCCTTTTCTTGAGGAGAAAACAATAAAATAACTGAAGCTCTTTCAGCAATATAAATCTTGAGGAGCAACGTGAGAATAATGAAAGGAACCACTCAAAAACAAACTGCGGAGCAAAAAGCATAATGTAACATTTTCCAGTGTGGAAGAGTTTAGAACCTACGGTAGTATAACATACTTCGGTGAAGTAATTTCGAGGGAGATCCCGACTAACAGGTACTTCGCACCGTGACGCCCAACAACATACTGCCCATAGGCGCTTCTTACAAGAGATGCTCTTGGCCTGCATTCATCCCTAATGCAAAATAGCCGTCAGCAATGTGCAAAACCACTCGCCAGGACAATGGCATGCTAAGAGACAGGCAAGTCAAGCCAGTTGACAAGCATCAGGCATAATACTTGAGTATCGGCTGGACATGGGCATCTCCACTTAAAGCCACTTACAGCCCTACAAGGTGCTCTTTTGCTGGTCCCACACAAAAGTTTCAGAATTCATCTCAACTCGAAGCAAGTATCAGGTACTAATACTTGACTACCAGTTGGACATCACTCAAAACCCTAAAAAATGCTCTCTTGCTGCTCCCGCACAAAAGTTTCAGAATTCGTCTCAACTCAAAACAAGCAACAACACGAGTTCCACACCCGCAGCGCCCGCGCCTACCGCGACTTCGATGTGGTCGACCTCCGTCCCGCGGCCCACGCCAGCGAACGTGATGCCGTTGATCTCGTTGTCGGGGCTGATCTCCGAGCCGCCGAACCAGACGCGAACGAAGCGCAGCACGCCGGAGCTGTCGTCGGGGTCGTTGCCGCCGTACAGGCCCATCCCCTCCGGGAGCCCCTCGACGCTATTCTCGCCGCCGATGATGGGGGCATTCCCAAGGATGATCAGGCCACCCCACCTGCCCCGCGCGGTCGCGGGATCGAATTCCGGGTCGTTCGGGTCTTGGATGCCCGTGGCGGACGTGAAGGTGATGGGCTCCTGCTGCGTTCCGAGGGCGAAGATCTTCGCGCCGCGCTCGATGACGAGCGCCGCGGCGGGGGTGCCGGCCGTGGCCCTAACCGTCACGCCCGCCTCGATCGTGAGATTCACGCCCGTCTTCACGAACGCCTGAGCAACGTGCAGGCAGGGATGTTACAACCGGGCAACGATCGTCAAGAGAGCCCACCAACACAGCTGAAGAGCAAGCGCGCAAGGGATGCTGCATTCGGAAACGGTTCCCAAGGACGCCCTCCAATCGGCTACAGAAACCAGGGACGAGGAGGAGGTCCTCAAGATGGAGGAGGGAAGCAAGAGAAAGGAAATATTTCATGTTCGCAGAAGGGATGCGGGTACAAATTTCCGAGAAACGAAGCGAGCGGGGCACGCCAGCGGCTGTGGCCAAGGACGCAAACCACGCGATGGTTATAGAGGTCGTTGATGGGATACAATCACAAAACGCGTACTGATAGATGGACACAATAGATGGCCTGGCCGTAAAGGGACATCGCTGTTTAGGGATCTGCCTATATCTCCGCTGCCTCCAGCTCGTTCCCAGACCCTCCACCGGAACCGCTTCCCTGGTTGCTAACCAGCCAGCGACCTGTCATTTAGCATCCAAGCCAAGGGAAGCGCGTGATGGGTGGCAGCGTGGTGCAGTACAACGAGCCGGAGGGTGTGAGTGACACGTGGGTCAGTCCCGTCCACGCCACGACGTTGTTTGCACGGAGTGCCAGAAGGAGGCGTTTGTGCAGATGTAGTGACTAGTGGGTCCACGCCTGACTGTGGAGGCCCAGCGACAATGCTGCAGGACTTTTGGTGGGTAAAGGTGCGTGAGTGAGGATTTTGGACGATCCATGGACTGCGATTCAAAGAAACAACATATTATAAATCAATTGAAAAAATAAATCACGTGATGCCATGGCTGGTGTTGAGTTAAGATTCTTGCGTTTGGGGCTGTGTTGGGAAACCCAAGGCTTTTCTTGAGGTTGAGGGTAGCCTGTCCACAGAGGATCGTTCGCTGATGCAATGTGATGTTCATGCTGTTGGCTTCACAAGGAGGCAAGTTTTCTGTGGTGAGTGGTGGTCTTTGACTCTTGCCTAGTTCTCTGTTTCTGTTTCTTTTTCTTTTCGTTCTATATGTTCTTCGAAGCCTAGTGGGGCTTTACGACCTAGATATGACATGCCTAGGGATCCTGCCCGCTTCAAGAGAAGATTGGATTGGTGTGTTGGTTGATGGAGCCTATCTGGCACACCAGCAGAAGACAACATGTTTGCGATGCCAAATGCCATGCCATTTGACACAAATTGATGCAATCACAGCCACTTTCATGCCATCGCGATCACTGCGACGGCGTCACTTTGTGTCAAAATGAAATCGCAGTTGCATCGCAAAGATGCCATTTTCTGCCACTGGCATTAACAAGGATTTTCCAATTTGGATGGAACATGCCCAGGTGATCCGTCCCGCCTTGCAAGCTCTTGTTCTCTTTGGTGTGAGTTGAATGATTCTGATTGTGTGTTGATGAATTGGAAGTGTCTAATCTCAATGGCTAGAGAGCTGGTGGAGCCTAGTAGGGACGAAGATTTCTCCTTGGATGTAAGATTTCTAGGGAACCCGCTTGAAGCACTTGCAATCCTAGTGCATAACTCTTATGTGATTCAGTGCATCTCCATGGTGTAAGTCGATATGAGGGTTTTGGGTTCTTGTTCAACTTCAAGAATTCAGTGTTCTGCTCTGTTTTGTATCCGACTTGAGCAAGCTATAGTGCTGTGGTGTTTGGTACTTTTGATGGATTCCATTTGCTTGAGTAGTCGCATCGCGGGCGATGTGCAGATCTTAAGGTTGAGGGTGATGATGTGACATAATCATAATACATGGACTCGATGGATGGCCTGGCCGTAAAGGGACATCGCTGTTATATCGCTGGATTGGGATCCGTATGTAACTCCGTTGCCTGAAGGCCGTCCCCAGACCGCCTACACCGGAACCGCTTCCC